CTGCTGCTGCTCCACGAATACATTAATAACCCCAGCAGGTTTGGGGATAATGGCCTTGCAAGCACATGGAGCATTTAGTTTGATTTTTTTATCTGATTCACTTTATTCAGGTTTATTTTCTTATTGATCACAAACCTTTGTATCACTTCTCCACAGCTCCACAAAGTGTAAATAACAGTTAATATTTTTTGTCCCCACTTTTGATCCTTTAGTGAGCGAATTCATTCTTACCGACCTGCATGTCTACCTTTTACCAAAACCAGTATTCTCTCCATTTCTCCAAAACAACTCATCTTCAGCTTATGCTGAAGAACAGAAATGTGGGATTCCAGTATTTTCTCTTAATCCACTGACAGACGGAGTCAAAGCAAAAACCAACCACAAAAATTCAACCGGTAGTTGACATTTCAGGGACCTATTGAATTCTTGGAAAGTGAAAGTACATACATATGAAAACATACACAATTATTCATCCCTTTAAAGTCTTGTAATTTCCACCAGCATCTTGCCTTCTGCAAGAGCCTCACCTGCACTTGTGTGGTTTTAATTCCTTGTCTTGCCAACTAAAAACTGAAAATAACATACTATTTAAAAGCTAGAATTCCCAGCTCTTTTCGTGAAGCATAAAGTATCACTGTCTAACTACTAGTCACTGAAATATTCCCAGCTTACTATTTAAAAAAAAAATAAATTGCAAAGAGGATATACTTAAACTAGGAAGAACAGAGCTCCATGATGGTACTGGGAAGCCCAGTTACCCAGGGCACGTAAAACAACAGCTTCCAGCCTCCGCCGATGCAGAGAGACAATTTCTTCTTGTCCCCTTGCCCCCCAACTAGCTGTGGGTTTTTTTGTCACTGAATCAAGATTTAACATAACAAGCCCCAAGCCTAGGAACTGTTTAATTCCTGACACTGGAAGTGGCTTCACTAATGTTCTTCCACCTCTTCTTTGGCTCTTTCTTGCCCTTGAGGTAATTTTTCATGACATTTTCACGAGATCCACTTCTAACCTCCCTCCCCCTTGAAAACATACACAGAAATATGAATGGCAGGCATGCAATCTGTGCAGAGACGCAGCACAGAAACTTGCACCTTGCACTCTTTTTCTATGTAAATAATGCAAGGATCCTGCGGGAACATGCCAGGGATTGGAATTTTTAATTAATGGGTCTCTTTAATGTGCAAATCAGGAGCAGATTGCGAATTCTGACTTGCATTGATTATGAAAAACATTAATTGAACGTGCAAGACCCCAAACAGAGGCAACATCTCAAACCTTGGACTAGACTGGAAGATAGGGTGCAAGAGAATACAAATGTATCTCGGAGAAACAGACCACTCCAGGCACTCCTGGCCCCTGGAAACCGGAGCGGTGGGAGTTCACGTGCGCAGCGACCGCGTTCAGAGCGCAGCCACTGTGATTCCAGCATTAACAACCACCCCGGCTTTCTCCATGGATGCAAAACAGGAATAAGCATGAGCTCCATGACCACAGTTTGGTCTCCAATTTGTATGTAAAAAGGGTGACAGAAAAAACCCTGGAATATAATTAAAGATTAAAAAAAAAAAAGAAAAAAAAAGGAAAGAAAAAGTAAGACAGTGCAAACAAAGCAATGCTGTCTCTTTAAACAGAAATTCATCCTATATAAATTATGGCCATAAACTTTTCCTGCAGTGCAGCCTAATTAATTCTTGTTCTATACACAAAGGGAAATGCTGGGTGACAAATGGGTGTGAAGCCTGAAAGCTGCCAGGTCTGCAAAACATTTTCTACTTCAATTTATAAGCAATTTTGCAGTAAATCATCCACCAGAACCTGAGATCTCAGGAATCCAAGACTGTCCAAGGCACGCTGTATCATTAAAAAAAAAAAATTCACAAAAGATTACAAAAATAATAAATTAAACACTCGAGGTTTTGCAACCTCCAACCTCAGAATTCTGAAAACAAGCATGACCTTCCCATTTTCACCCAGATTTGGCTTTAAAACTGCAAATGTATAGAACACTACTGTCTACCCTTCAACACAATGATATTCAAATCCCAAGGGAATTTCACCACCACCACCAGCTGCACAGAGGGTTGTCACAAGTGGGAGATTCCAAAGAGGCAAATATACGAAGGAGTGTTTTCCATTTCAAAAAAATCACCCTTCCTGTGGGCACAGAGCAGAAATTTCAGGAGCAATGGAAGGACTTGACATAAATTACTGAAAGCATTCTGGGACAGCTTTCAAAGAGATGCAAGGGACTCATCCAGGACCTCAGAGAGCTGGTGCTGAGACCCCTCTGCACCCTCCTGCCTTCAGCAAGCTACAGTGTGCACCAAGAGTCTGGATTTTTGGCACCAGCTGCTTTCTGCAACTTGAACACCAAGAAAGTCACCTCCTCCTATTCAATGAGGATGATGAAAGCATGCCAAATTTATTCTGTGAATTTGGAAAGAAGTGCTGAGGCTTCCCTGAAAGGAGAGCATCATCCAGTCCAAAACAGTGTCAATGTCATGATTATCCCAAACCCTGTCCAAGACTGAAGCACATCACTTACAATGGAATCACCTCAGCAGTCAGTATTTACAAAGTCCTGACTTCCACTCATCCTTAAGCTTACTTGTGCACAGTTCTTCTAATTTTCCCTGTCTGGGAAATGAGATGCTACCCACAAACTCGTAACACAAACTGGAATGACAACTCAGGAGTCCAGAAATGCTTACCCAACTCACTACACCTTTGAGCAAAAAAAAAAAAGTTTATTTTTATAGAAGGTATAAACACCTGACCAGCTAAAAACTAGGACTTTCATTGGAAGCTGATTTACACTAAGTGAGAATTTTTCTCCCTCACAAATCAAGGCGCATCGATTCAATAAAGAGCTTTAAATATATTATGATGCATATTTTCAGAAAAGACTTCTGGGTTTCAGCTCCTGAACTGACAGGTCGCAGCCCCGTTGTCCAGATAGAAGCTCCGTTTGTGAAAACGTAAGACAGCTCAGACTGCCCACAGGGTAAAGCTCTAGCTGCTCATTAGACATGAACCCCTCTCACAGGGCCCAACACAGCAAAGTGAGAGAGAAACGGGTCTTTGCCACAACATCAACTACACCCCTGGTCTTTCATAAGATCTGCAGGTATAAATATACCCCTTATTTCATGCTTGGCACTTTGCAGCTCCTGGAAAGAACATCTTTGCAGAGCAGTGAAAGACAGCTGCAATGGACAACAGTGCAGCTCATCAAAAATGACTGTTTATTATAACCTACTTTACTGTACAATTACAGATTGTATTTTTAAAAAATAGAAATTAAAAAAAAAAAAAGGAATATAAATTTGGTCCCTTAGAGAACACCAAAAAAGACTAAACAAGTGTACTAGTACCAGAACGTTCCTAAGTTCATTACTTCCTCTGCTAACTTTGCCCAGGTCACTCCAGCTATATTTTCTTCTTGTCTTCACGGATGAAACACAGAACATGAATCCAGGTTATCAGGATCATCAGAGTACGCTGATGCTGCTGCAACTTTCCCGCCCAGATTATGGAAAGAGGGTGGGGAGGGAATCACTGAGCAGTTATTAAGAGTGGATTTTCCTTTAGCGTTCCGGACAACTGGAAGATTAACCTCTCTGCTGTACTGCGTACAGTATTATACTCCACGTTCCTGGATGTATTTTGCTTATGGGAAATATCAAAATGTCAACCATTGTTTCTGTTAAAGGTCTTTAATGATATTGCATTTTAGACCTGTAATGAAACACGGTGCTCAGTGCAGTCTGTAATGCATCTCATTAAATACATTAATAACACGCATTTCACTAAAAGGTCAGCTTAGTATTGTTGGAAGTTCGCCTTTTTTTCCTTAATCAGTTCCTTTAAAGCAGCAGAGCTAACTTGAAAATATAAAGTATCTCACCTGCTGTAACTCCAGGTAAGCTGATTAGGTACCACATTCAGATCAGGTATAAGCCATAGGATGACAGTGAAAACTTGGTGTAGGGCAAGATTCAGGGTCAGGTTTGATGATGGTGAATACTACAGACACAGACAACTCAAAATCACTGGAAGAATATCCTACAAAGCCCACTAATTTCTCATTAGCAGGATTAGAAAAAAACAACAATCTGTGTATAAACATTGTCACTGGTGTGGTTATTGACAGAAAACAACAAACATGTCAGGGACAAATGGACATCCACTGATATCTGCAGAAGTTTGTATTTACTCCTAAGGATAATACACCAGACATTTATCTCCCTGTGCATTTCCTTAAGGCCGGTAAAAAAGGTGTCCAATTCTAAAAATTAAATAGAGCCACAACACACTGAAGTTGAGTACTTTGCACCTGGAAGTTGGAGCGTGCACATTATAGTTGCCATACTGGAGAATCTACTACAAATCTCATCAGATTGGTATCATTAATAGTGATCCTAAGAAATAAACAGATGAACCAGCTCCAAGTTGAAAAGATATTTGCTGTTGATTTAACAGCACAAGCCCTCTCTTTTAGGCTACATTACTCCTTATTAGGGCAAATCTTTGCATTCACTGACCCAGCACAAAATTGGTACAACGAGGTGCCTCTGGACAAAGCAGCATCCCAACTCTGCACCGAACAGCACTAACCAAATCAATTATTCCTAAGATCCAGCATGAAACTTAAATTTGATAAGCCAACTTCAATCCCCAAATGAGCTAGAAATAGCAGCCAGACCCGAGCTGAGGCTTTCAGCACTACGTAAGTGATGACAGGCCACCAGCAGACATCAACTAGGCCTATATAGACGGGGTGACAGGAGGCATCTTCTTTGTCTGGGGTAGGAAACACATTTTTGTTTCTGTTTGCACGGTGCCTAATTAGTGGTTAAGGCGACACAAACCAACAGCTAATACTACAGACACAGGCAACTCAAAGCCTTCACGTTCCCATCAACACTTCCCCACACAGGCAAAACACACTGGATACAGCAGTCTATCCAAAAGTAGAAAGATTAAAGAATTCTTACAGTTCTCGACAGCATTGTCAAATTCTTGTCCGCCTTCCTTTTTGAAGATTGGGTAAGTATCTGGCTGCGGAAGCCGGTTCGCTGTCAGGAGTGCCTTCTGCATCTTGATTCTCCCTTCCAATAGCTGATCCCACAGCGCTTCATAACAAAGAGAAAATAAAACAATTTAGCAAGCCAAAGCACTTCCTGCTCATGAAGGAGCTGTTGATTTAACAGCACAGACCTTCTTTGTGCTACATTACTCCTGGTTAGGGCAAATCTTTGCATTCACTGACCCAGCAAAAAACTGGCACAAGGTATCTCTGGACAAAGCAGCATCCCATTCTATGATCCTGACTGCAATTCTGTGATCCACAAAAAACAACATCCTTTACTGTTTAAAAGGACACTCTGCAAACGGAGGTGGATATTTTAATAGGAGAGATAGAAAGAAATTGCATTCAGTATCACATTTTGAAAAGAAACAGAAGTAGTATCAGCATCACTGCACTATCAGTGTAGGAAGTCCCCATCCCCACCAATACTACAAGTATATTCAGTACTGGTTCAATTAAGTCAGTGGATAAATACACTTCATAACAGGAGATTTTGTACCAGCAGTGACACCAGTTTGCATAGCAGACGTGGCAGAACATTTGCAAATGACTAGGGCTGCTCTAGCATGCACATGCAGTATGCTAACAACATGTTAACATGCTGAAGTGATTCCTAACATGGCCAGCTTCTGCAGTGTCAGCAAGGTGAAAGTCTTGTCAAAATACAAAGCAAACATGCACAAACCTAGCTGGTTCTTCACAGCTTTTCCTTTTTCTACTTCTTCAGCTTCTTGTCGTTTTGAGAATGTCATCACCCCCCCATTATCTTCACTGTCTTTGGTTTCTTTTATATTTTCGTGGTTTTCACTCCCATATCCCTCCTCATCACTTCCTTCTTCCATGCTGGCATCATCTTCATCTTCTCCCTCACTGCTTCCTACATCATCCATCCCCTCTGTAAATTTCTCAAAGTCTGTAATATTCTGGAAACTGAACTTCGATGTCTTGGCCTCGGCAGATGGATCTGTCCCTTCATCGTCTTCCAAGTCATCCTCCTGGTCACTGCCAGCACTGCTGGGCTCCTCCTTTGTTTTAGTGCCTAAGCTGCCACTCTCTTCTGCATCTTCACTGCCACTGTACCATTCATCTAATTCTTCTTCAGCTAAGAATTAAAAGAGAAGAAAGTTATTTACTTACCAGCAAAATGTGCACTTTGCAGTACGCATCATGGACAGCTACAGGTTTGGGCTATTTGAGCTCCAAACTCCTTTTTACCTGTGTATGACGTTATTCTTTGCTTTGGCTACATAACAGAAACACAAGGCTACATCCACAAAAAGGTCTTAGCTCACATTTTCTGCAGCAATGATTAGCAGATCTGTGGCTTGGCTTTCCCATGAAACAACGACATGATAAGCCAACAAGGTGCTCAGAATTTGCTGTAGGCATTTTTAAATGAGAACCTGTATATACTTGCAGTCCTCAAGATATATTGGCTTAAAACCTGGAGCTGTTTCTTTTCTTCCACACAACGTTCAGTCAGTGCCCT